ACGAATCTGATGCATGCAAGTCAATTGAGTCATGTGTGGTGGGATCTTCCAAAGCTTGTTCCTCTTCTGATGTACCTGGAGGCATTTCATAGTGAGGCAGCTTCCCATCAATGTAATCTTTCAGTATCTGACGGGTGGCCCTAGTTTCATCAGGGAGTCCACTAGAAGCAACATACCCACGGGAAGCACAGTATGCTCTTAAAAGTTCAGATGCTAGAGGGGGACGGGATTGGGACTCATATGGCTTAGGTTTAGGAAGCCTTATCTTATAAATCTGTTCGATGACATGTCTTGGGACTCTATCAGCCACAACTTGGACAGATTCCCGGTGTTCAGTCATCCTATCAATTGGCAACACTCCACAAGCAATCATCTCATATCTTGAGCTAGAGAAAGATGGAAAAACTAATCCAGGTCAATCACAGAGGGTCAGCTTATCAGAGATAATTAATGTCTGAAAGTGCTTTGTTTTCCCAGGGGTGGAGGTGACACCAGTCCGTTTTTCACCAACGAGAGCATTGATAGTTGAACTTTTCCCCACATTAGGATATCCAACAAATCCCACAACTACATTACTCGATGATGAACTACCAGCAGTATTTTCAGCAGGTGATTTAATGTTAGATGGCCCTGCACCGGAGGTGCCGGAATTCCTCCTGTTCACTATCTGTTCTGCTTCTGATTGAAGGCGGGCCAATAGCTCGTCCCTTCCGTATATCTTTGTGTCTGGGCTATTAGTTCTCCCCGTGTTATCATCATCCCATGATGAACCAAGATTTTTGCCTTCCAGGGCTGCTGTGGCAGCTTTAGCAGACCAGAAGATGAAGAGAATATCGTGAGCTCGAAAATATTCTGCCCATTTATCTCTACAAAAAATAAAATAAATACGGACAAATAATGAGGCAAGATACAACCAAGGCCAATGATTTGATGCTGTATAAACCTCATCGTGGAATGGGACATTCAAACCTGATAGAAGCAGGCAAAAGATCTGCCTTATTAACCAGAAGCAATGTGCGTTTATGTTCATCAACCTCCCGTGCATAAGCCTGTCTCAAAGAAATAGGTGCAAAACAAATCATGCTTGGCTCATGCGATAGTGATTCTTAAAAGAAATAAATAAAGATAAGGGTTCAGAGTAGGCTATACAAACATACAATGTCTGATCAAATCTATCTCATTACTGCTTGCCATAATTTTTATGGAGATTAATTTAAGTTAATATTTTTTAGAGAATAGAAGTAGTAACTCTGAAAGGATGCTTTAACTGTTCTGAACTCATTACACAAGAATACCCAGTCAAAAATCTTCCATTATTTGCTACAAACCTAACCACCTCTAGAGTTGTCAAGTTAGCATTTAGTTATGAAGAATGAAAAGAGCATCTCACCTCAAGGTCTGGACACCGATAAAACAGAGGATCTCGGGAATCGACAACCATAACAAGCTGACAAAAAGGTATGAAAGGATCGTCAACTTTAACATTTCATGCACTTCAAAAAAAAAAGGAAATATATAAAAAGCAAAACATAATTGATACTTCAATACACATACAAATCCATTACTGATATATATATATTATCAGTATATATATTGATAGGAAGAAAAAAATGAATGTACATCTAAGGAGGAATAAGTAGACCGATATCCACTGTACCAGGTTTCCTACTAGAGCTTTTCTTTCTTTTTTTCATAGTATTAGAAAGTTGCAAAATGAGATTGTTTCGAACAATTCTCAATTTGCAGCTAATGATGCAGCTCCAACTTGTTTAGCCGTTTTCCCTTATTTTTTTTGTTTGAATAACAGGCCAAATTAAAGATAAGGCCTGTAAGAAATGGAATCAATGAAACCAGTATAGTTAAACAAGAAAATAATAACAAAGGATCACAAAGTGTTGTGGAACTCCTTCTGTATCTATTAATATACTACTAACAATTATCTTAAACAGAGCAGAGCTCCATTATTTGTTATCATACCAATATACTGTTTTCTTTCCAGCAAATGAAGTGATTAGGGAATTGAGATAGAACTCACCAACATAGAAAACAAGAACATGACACACTAGACTTATTTACTTCAACAACATAAAGTATTGCATGGATAAGAGGATGCCGTTGTTTTGCAATCATATTCATAAAAAGTAGAACCATGCTTATCTTCATTGTGTACAATCCAAGTAACTAGGTCATTATCAGTCATTCCAGCATATTACATAATCAGACTATTCATCAACCCATAAAACTTCAAAGAGGATATGAACTCACCAGATCACTACGCTCAACAACACGCCAGAGCTGTCTCCAGATGTCAAGATTTTTCTCAAAAGGTGTAAGGACAAGCTTCTTATTCTCCTCAAGCCTGAACCACCGCCAAAACACAAACTAAAATCCTCTAAATCCTTTAATAACGCCAGCAAAATTAGAAAGATGAAATTACATTCGTAATCCCAGAACATGCAATAACCCTAGTTTCCATAATTTAGTCTAGAAATCCGACTCATAGCCTAATATCCGGACAAGCCTAAACCAACTACAACTAACCTCGCTAAACTGCGACGCCAAACCAAAAAAGCTTGTGTTTCGCTGTCGTGAAGCTCATCGGGAGACATGTCGGGCTTCCACGGCGGCCGGCGCGGAACTCGGAGGCTGCTGGCGTGGATCGCCTCCTCCTGCTTTCTCGTTTCTTCAGGCGTCATTTCGGTAGGGTCCCTACTCTCACAGAAGGATTAAAGTCACAGAACATTCGCGGAAAGAAGGGCGTGGCGCGTGAGTGCCGAAGGAAAAGAAAGAAGACTCACAGGCTGATGATGGTGGTGGAGGCGACGGCGTGTTCGGGGAGAGATTCGAGGGATTGTTCGATGACGGCGTCGATGTCGGAGACTTCGGTGAAGGATTCGAGAACCTTCTTTTTGTAGAAGCGAGACTTGTCCTTGCTCTGTTGAATCATCTGATTGTGCTGCTTCACTAGGGCTCGACCTAGCCCCGTTTTCTGGTTCTCGTTCTTCTTGCCCATGGCTTCCAAGCAGTGCTTCTTCTCCTTCCTCTTTCTGTTTCTTTGCTTTTCGCTTTCTGCTTCCGCTATGCTACCATGGCTGATTTCGGATTTAGGGTTCGGATTTGTTGCAATGAAGAGGTGCCGTGACCCGGCCCCGTCCGGTTTATTTAGCCTGTTAAACCGACCCGATACGCAATTAATACTTCTATCTATAACCATATGTAGTAGAATATAAACTATTCATACCAAGATAAAAATGAAGATAAGAATAAATAAAATTTTCATAATAAACTATATGTAGTAGAATATAAATATGTAATAATTAGACAATTCATGGAATGATAAAACAACTCTTTATTAAAAGTTAGATTTACTTAACTATTAAAAATTATTTAAATATTTATCATCTACTTAAGATGTTTGTTTCTTGATATCTTTTTATAATATACTCATCCATTATTCAGTGCCAGCATGTTTGATTTTGTAAAATAATATTATATAAAAATGAATAAATTTTAAGAATATAAATAAAGATTGAAATAAAATTTAAACTAAAATAAAAACGAAATTTTATAATTAATGAGTATTAGTAAAAATAAAATTTAAGAAAAACATAAAAATAAATCATTCTATAAAGTACCTAAATTTAAATTAATTAATTTTAGGATGGAATAGAGTTGAAGGAGCCAGACGGTTAAGAGAATAGGGGTGAAGGATCGAACGGTTAAAGGAAGGAGATAAAGGAGACCAAACAGGGAAGGGGGTGAAAGGTCGAACGATTCAACACTTAAGAAACCGTTCGGTTCCTTCACTTCCTTCCCTTGACCGTTCGGCCCTTAACCAACGTAGCAAAAGTTAAGAAGGAAAAATGTCATCGTGACCAGAAGCTTCTTTCTAACGTTGGTTGTTTCGGAGGATGAAAAATTGATCAAAATATAGCTTAGTTTGAAAGAAAGACTAACAGACTAAAAACATATTTAACCCTTATTTTAATAATTATTCTTCAAATATTTTATTTTTATAAAATATTTTAAAAATTATAAATTTTTTAAATATTATAAACTTTTTAAATTAATAAAACATTGTATCTCCTATTATATTTTTAAAATAAAATAATTAATAAGTCATTATATATCTTATCATATTCTTTTGAATAAAATAAATCTTTTCAAATAACTAATAAACAATTTTATCTCCTATCATAATAAAATAAATTTAAAATTAAATAATTAGTAGTTCACTTTATATATATATATATATATATATATATATATATATATATATATATATATGTAATTATTATAATTTTTCAGGTATTTCATTATGGTTGTAAGAGAATAAAAATTAAATTAAAATTACAATGTCTAGAGATTAAAATTTCGGATAATATATTAAAGAAAACTAAAATTGTAATCTAGTTTAATAATACTGTAATATTATTTTACTATTGTCTTTTATACTACAATTATTAAGGAACCAAAATTTCCAATGAAACAAAAAAATTATTTGATAGATGTTTTGTGTATTTAATTTGGAGAAAGATTAGTGGAATGAAAAAAAGAGGGTAGAATTTGTGTGCAAATTAAAATGCTGAAAATGTTCTTTAATAAAGTGTAGAATCTACTATGATTTTTCTGTAAAAGAACAGTTGCTTGAATTGCTAGTGATTAGTTAATTAGGTGATACATTGTATCTTTTTCTTTTCTGAATTGACATGGAACCTTTTCTTTTCATTCTCAAGCCATTGTAGTATATATCGTTCAATTCTTATATGCTATAACCTCTTCTCAAGCCACATTTTCAATACACAATTTCAGATTTGGTAGTAAACTCTTTTATCAAACTAATGAAACAAACAAATTTAAATTCTGTGGTGAGTTTTTTTATATTGTCATTTGTTGTGTCTTTAAAATATACTAATATACACTGATTTTAATGTTTTAAAAATATATTTAAAATCTTTTTAAATAAATGAACAAGTAAAAGCGCATGCAGCCTGCAAGAATGTACAAACACTCTTCATGTAATGCTGACATAAACCAAAAACTGGTATGCAATAAATATGCAGTAACAAATAAGAAGGCAAAGAACAATATAGTCCCAGAAGTTACAATACCATCCCCAAACCATTAAAATAATCCATAGGAAGAGATTTTCTTTATGTTGTTAAAAGAATTTGTTATACTGGCTGGTGAGAGAGTCCCTCAGATTTGAGTACAAGCCGTAGAGAGAGTACTGCCGCAGATTTTCCACTTCATACCATGAATTAAGCACTGATAGATGCTTGTCTGTACCAGAAAATGCTAGCTGAATTCCTAGACTGCAATCTACTGCCCCTCCTCTGCCTTTACAAGATGATGTTCTGATAGCACAATCTTGTTTGTTGAGGCAAACAAAGTTGGATTTTCCCTTGCATGAAGAGCAACCATCTCTCTTCCAGTACAAGTTCTGCAGCCTACCCTTCTGAAACTCCAGCACCTAATCAAATGGAAAGTCCAACCACACCTTAGATTTTTCAATAACTAAACAAAACTCAACTCATCATGTCCATGATCTACATCTCTTACCAGTGTGAAACTTGTCACTGTATACGTGCTGTTTGCAACAAATGCAAGTGGAGACCGTGCAGCATACTTTCTCCCAGCAAATGCCACCATATATCCACCATAACTATCCTACTCATTGAGATGAAAATGAAAGTTATATATTAGTTGTTATGATGCCACTGTTCATGCAAGTTTCATTTCAGCTTGTGGTTCTCATTTTTGCTTCCAGGGTAACAAAAGTTGGTTTAAGGGATCCCAGTGCAATTTACCATGACTTGTGATTTTCAATTCTATCCTATCAAAGCATAAGCGTTTCAAACGGATGTTTGAGTATAGCCTTCTCCAATACTTAAAGTCAACTAGGGAACTTGTATAACAATCTTGTGAATTTGAATGTTTCATGAAAAACATAACAAAAGTCATTTTATTATTAACTCAATTTTCAAATTCCATACAAAAATCATAATATACAATAGCAGTGTAAAAAGTTTTTACAAAGTCATCTGTTAAAATCACCATATACGATGAGTTTGTCAACTTAGACAACAACTGTACCGAATTACAATGAAAATTCATTCTTCCCATGATTTCTAACTAGTTGTGACCTAAATTTTTTTTTACACTAATAGTACATCTAATTTTTTTTCTTCTCTAAAAGTAGCAAGCTCCTTACTTTAGATTATGCTGCCTAATTATTTGAATTTGTGGTTATTGATTTTATGTCTACGTACATGTGAATGAGCCTAATAGTTAAGAGTAATTTGCATACTGCAATCCTAACAGTTAAGAGTCATAGTTAGCTTTACTATCTTAATTTGAGTTTATGTTGAACATATGTACATCTTCTACAATGTGTTAAACAAATTTGTCATGTCAAACAGAAATAGAAATACTGCCAAGTTGGCTTGACTTCAGCATATACTCGTTGAGGAGTGGTTTAATTTCAACAGTGAAGATAACTACATAAAAAAAAATTAGATAATTTGGTCAGTACACTGTGTGCAATCAAGTTGAACAGTTGTACCAATAAGGGGTGGCTTAACTTTAAGTTGGTGCTAAAACAAGAATAAGGGGAAATAGTTTGTAAATAGCAGGTTATCAGGATATATCTTCATAGTAATTATGAAATAAACAGTCCATCTTAATCAAGTTCATTAAGTCTATTCTGTCACCGGATATTGTGCTCTTCTTAAGCCACCCACAAATATCTAATCCAACATTCAAGATGTTTATTCCTCATCATGAGAGTGTGTGTTGAAGATTCCATATCAATTAGAAAAAAGTCAAATTATAATATATAAATAGGATGCAATCTCTACTATAAGCCAACTTTGTGAGATCGAGTTAAGGATAAGCCTATTGACTAATACATAGTAACATGTCAACACAGTAAAAATACATTATGGTTGAAACTGGTGGATGAGGACTATTCCAATCCTATAGAGGCAAATACTAGCAAGAGAAAAAATTTAATTAGCACAATGCAAAAATAAAAGAAAATGACATTATTGACCTAAATGCAAAGAATATAGGTCAGGTTTGCTCGTTGTACCTAACTCCTTTAAGCAGGATTCAGGACAGGGCGTGCGTAATATGATGGGTATTACTGCAATGGGGGTTGATTCTCTATTCCCTGGCTTAGGTTTACCATTTTGACCAAAGCTCTAGTTGATCTCTCAGCAACATGGTATATTGTACCATATTTGATGTTTCTATATTGGAGCACAAGTCTCTGAAATACATAACAATTTCTCCTCCATGTGCTACAATAATAAATAACCTCTTATATCTCATCTAAAACACTTTAAAGCTGGATTTATGACATTCAACGACCTCAATAACCTCCTCGTACAGCTTAATTTCTTCTTGCCATAATTAGAACATAAAATTAGGTTCATTGGTCATGTCGAACGAGAAAGTCGTATGACAGCTATAAAAATGTATGAAAACTTATTTCTACATCTAACATTTTCCAAGACCAAATTCATATTTTCCAAAACAATATCGAATGATTGTTGAACCTTCACCATGACACGAAAGATGAATTCATCGCTCACAAGAACTACAACAAACCCGAGAAGTCACCAAGTCAATATCAAATACAGAAGTGCCCCACTTGACCAACCAATGAACAGAAGCCACAATCCCATTATCCCCATCCCATATTCTACTATGAAAATTATAACACATAAATATAAGGGATCCATTGTTTGTACAATGGTATCATCCACCATTTTCTTTAACATTATCTTTTACCTCTATCTCTACCACACCAACTAACTAATTTTGTACAAAACTTTTATACCAATAAAATTTATCCAAATATAGTCTTCATCTAATATACATCACTGATTCGTACAACAATATCACCATGTCGACTATTTTATCCTGAGCATTGTCTTATCTTACTCTCTTATATATTTATGGTAGAAAACGATAAATTTCTATGAATACAATCAACATATCACCTCAAAGCTCCAAACTTTTCAAAACAAACAGAATCAAACATTCATATCACAGTAAAATTATAGCCCCAAAAGTTAACAACCAAGAGAAACAAATGGATATCATCAGTTTCAATCAGCCAGAGACCCAGATAAAAAACGATCAAAGAATAACACCAGATGGTGAGAAAACGAGACGAGAGGTGACACTGTTACTTACAGGGAAAAAACTAGAGGTGTTGATGGTGAGGAGAGAGATCTCATCAACCTTGGGACGAAAGAGAGCGAGCTGTGAGTTGGAGGATGAGAGAGAAAGACGGTGGTCACAGGGAGAGAGCTGAAGGGATTGATTGAAGAAGAAAGACTCCCTGGAACTGAAGGCAATGCCAAAAGTGAAGCCATCAGATCTCTGAATCTTGGCATCAGCACAAGGCTGGTACACGTTATTGGTGTTAGTGGCAATAACAACAGCTACTACCAGTGGCAGCATCATCAAACACAATGCACCTTTCGCTGCCATTGTTGTGTTTGGATTTGATGATGATGATAGTGTGGTAGGAGTCCCAAGCTTTTGTTTTCTTCTTTCCCCTCAACTTTGAATCTACTGGCTACTAACGGGGTGTGGCTGGTTTTTATCCTACTTTACAAACTTTGCAGAGCTATAAGACGAAAATGGTTATTAGAGTTCTGTGATGGTGGCAAGTTTGGTAACAAATAACAAAATTCTTTTTTTTTTTTAACTTGGTTCAATTTTAGATTGTTAACTTTTTTTTTAACTTTAGTATTTTCGTAATATTGCAGCAAAGAATGTGTTAAAAAGATAATAAAAAAGGCGGAAGTAATTTATTTTTAATTGTATTTTTATTTCTCAAAATAAAATTATTTTTGTCTTTATTGTTGTTTTAATCTCTTCAATTTAAAAGTTGTTGGGATATATATATATATATATATATATATATATATATATATATATATATATATATATATATATATATATATATATATATCTTAAACTTCTACATTAGAATTAGAATTTTTTTTTATATGATATACTTTTATGTCAAAAAAATTGATAAGTGTGAAAAGAAGTTGTTTTTACACTTATAAATAAACTCAATTTGGTAATTATTTATGTTATTACTCAGTGAAAGTTGTAATAAGAAGTATATATTATATAAAACATTGTACAGAAAATGTTGTATTATTTGGACGGTTGTTAATCATTTCTCGCTAAGAGCAAGCCAAAATTCGTATGACCAGAAGGAGGACATTTGCACAACGCACCAGTAGAGCGTCAGTTGAAGTACAACAGTTAAGAAAATTCGCACAACGCATACACACATGTGCGCTGAGCAAATTAATAAAGTTAAGTGGCTTAAAAAGACGTGACAAAAAGACAAAAACTATCTTCTGACACAAAACAGAGCACGAAAAATGCTAGAGACTTCAGGAGACGCTCAGGAGACACTTCAAAGCATCAAGACTTTGCTTTATGCAAGGAATTGTTGTAAATAGTATGTTCTAGATGTATAGGAGAGGCTAGTTTTTTTGTTCTTTGGAATTGGTTGTATGACTTTACATTAATGTAATCTTCCTGTTTGTATTTTTGTGCTTTTCTTGACTTGCTTATGATTATACCGAAGTATAAATTTCTTTAAACGTTCTTTTGTACTGGGATGTATTTTTGGAACAGAAACTTAAGAAAAGCAACTAAAAGTAACTACGCCAGGGATAACTTCTGTGTTTTTGGTCATTCTCAACATCTGAAATTAATGCTAAGTTATCTGTTGAATTAATTAAGGAATTAATAATTTAATAGATAATTTTAGAACTTGCTTTAAGGAATTAAATCAAGATACACTTATGTGAATGTTTGAATAGAGAACAAATGTTGTTCAGTTAGTCAAGACCAATTCCAATGATCTTTTATCCAATTTTACATTATTAAATTTTTACATTGTTAATTTTATGCTATTTTCCAAAGTTGAAATCAAAAGTTATCATTAGAAATTGATTTTGATAAACAGATTTAAAAAAAATTATATTCAAACAAACATAATAAAAAATTAAAATTCATAGTACTAATGGGAGTTAGTGTTTTTTATCCTAGTTTATTGGAGAGCTTTGTATTATTGGCGCACTACGTTTCTTAGAGTTGCGTGTTGTTCAAAATGACAATGTTATCTCTTGATTTGGAGGGTTAAGGTTGGGTTAGGTAATGTTATGTTCATGGCTCAAAGGAGGAGTACCTGCAGACTTCTTTTATATATTTACACTGACCCTTGATCACACAATTTTCATGTCAAACTCCATTTGATGGAGTTAAACCATAGTTTTCTTTAGGGATTGCATGTGGTTAAATGGCGTCTCTTAACGCAACTTCAATCCTAATGCTTGATAGTGCTCAAAGCATATTTCATTATAGTGTGAAGAGTTCCTAATTTAAAAGTTTTCTCCTAATTACTCAATATAAAAGATCCATCAATTTGTTGTCTATGTTCGATCAAGTTGAAGTTGTTGTTCGGTTTTTTTTTTGACATTATACCTCCTATCAATACCCCAAAGAAGAGCGGGTTTGAATTTTCCCTCCCAAATTCCGCCTTCCAGTGCCCATATATGGGGGAAAAAACATCACGCTCAATTTATCCTTCTCATTTTCCCTACCAATCTTAGTGTCATACTTTTCCCACTAGTCAGTGTTCACCCCTCCAATTGTTTTGCGGTCACCCCTGAACTTCTTGCCACCACTACTCATTTCTTCATTTCTATTTTTCCTTACACGTATCGTAGTTTCTCATCACGTTGCTCTCCACCTCCGCGGGGCTTGCCACTTGCAACAAACCAACCCACTTTGTCCGCTTTTCAGCCCAGGCCTTTTTTCGGACAAGCTCAACTTTTCTGAGACAGCTCAACTTTTGTGGTGAAGCCGTTCGTTTGGCAGAGTGTGAGTTATGCTGCGATTATTGAAACATTCCCCAGTTTCCGTAAATAACATATTCTTTCTCTTACAGATTTGACAAATTGCAGGAAAACTCTAACATGATTCCCTGTGATTTTAACTATTGAAAATAAATTAATTGTTTGATTGTTTGGAAATGAGTTGGTTATTGTCGTGATGCTGCTGTTTTGGTGGGCGGAGTTCGTGAAAACAAAAAAAATGACACAGCATGGAGAGGAAGAAGATGAACTAGGTTGCGGTATATTTTCGATAGTGAAATGTTCGTCGGTTAAAGTTTACCGACAACGTTTTTACCAACGACATTTTGACTGTCGGTAAGTAAGTCGTCGGTACATGACAATTATCGACGAATTTTATACATTACAGATGAATTATGGTCGTCGGTAATATCAATTATTCTGTAGTTTTGTGCTTGCAGAGGTGGAGAATTTGAAATTACATTGAGTTCTGACAATGAAGCGTTGAGCTTATGAATATATAGGGTAATGAAGGGTTATATGAAGATGGTGATGATAGATATTATGTGTAGTATTGGGAGGCTGATGGTAAGCATAAAGGAATGATGAGGAAAGTGTAATGAATAATAGTGTTATGAGTTGGACGTTATGGAGCATAAATCTATGGAGGTGGGTGACAAACTTGTGTGGTTTATGAGCGATAGATGGTGGGGAACCATGGTGACCTTGGATGCTTTCGTTCGCCCTTCATGCTTTCCATCAAAGACAAGACTTGGAGGTTCATCGAAGATGGTTGCACCTTTCGATGCTTCCATTTGCGATCAAAGAAGAAATAGGAAGTTTCTCACGCATGAATGAAAAAAAGATGGATTCCCAATTTTTGGCCCTACATGTTTAATTGTTTTTTTAATTATAACCTGAAACAAAAAATATAATTGACACATGTACAATGACTTGTCAAAAAATCACAAATATGGTTAAAACGTTGTAACTCCTTGGGAGGCGCACCAAATCATTTAAGTAATATAAATTGTATCGTTTTCCAGGGATTTGTGTTTTTTTAGATTATTGTGGTTTTCTTGTGGTTTGGCAATGAATATAAACAATGATTGATTCAAATAAGTTGCAAATAATAAAAGTTACTGGATATAAAGTTTATAAAGTGATACAGGTAAAGACTCATCGGTTGGACTTCATGATCCAAACTTTATGCACTCATCCACCAAATATATCTCTAACATATTCAAACATTCACATCACAAGTGTTAAAGCCCTAATTCCTTTTTAGCAAGCTTTAAATCTTGTGTGAGAATACTAATCCCTTAGATATTCAAACATAAGAGATTGCATTAAGAAAATTAAGACCAGGAGTGTTTATATGACCAAATAAACCTGGTTTGTCTTAAACCAAACTTTGATTGTTCTATCCATGTCTAGAATCCAAAGCATTTTCCCATGATATGATTAGACATCACCCAAAAATAGCCTAGATATTTCATTATGCAAGTGAATAAAAAGGATAAAACACAAGAAATATGAAAGATTTCTATTCCACCAAAAAAAAACTAATAAGGTTACATTTACATTCAACGAATGAAATGATGTTTAGTTACCATTATAGTACATCAAGACACAATATAATGACTGAATGAGAAAAAGGGATAGAGGGAAAGATGGAGTTCTTGAATCCTTATGATTAAATCTGAAATGTAATATCACACTTATTCAAAACATTTACACGTGTTTTGAGGACATCGTACATTGTTTCAATTACATTCGGAGAAAAAAAAACTAAACATTTTGATTTATGAAAGACTAAAAATTTGAGTTTTTTTTTTAAAAGTTTTTTTTTTAAACAATAAGGACGAAAAAAATTGATCAAAGTTTAAAAATAGATGAAAACCAAAATAAGTCTTTAACCCTTTAATTTTATATTATAATTCAGTTATTTTAAAATTTGATAACTTTTTTAGTTAAGACATATATAACCAAATCGTTACAAATTAATAACGTGAACAATAAGTAAAATATCGTTCTTTCCAAAGGGGATTTGAAATCAGTTATTTAATCAAAGGCTGTTTA